CTCCGACAAACTAGATTTACAAAACAAGAGGATGAAAAAAAGGAAATGTCAATACCCGATTTGGATTACATGTTTACTCCTTGTTTTGGAGCTCGTAATATACAAAGTAGAATGTCTTTCGGAGTCTTTCCAGAGTTTTTCCACTCATAATAATGTACATATTGCAGGTTTGACCTCGTACGATAGATTCTATACAAGGCCATATTTGAGATATACGTGATACACGGGGGAGGGAGACGAACGACTAAAAGGGAGTAAGTAGTAAAGATACAGTGAGGGCCTAGTACGACCTGAACCACCCAATCAACCTTCGGCATTCTTCATCAAGAGTCCCTTCACAAAAGGCAACCGATCAATGATCTCCAAACCCAGACTGCGACCCCATGCAACAGGCCCCTGGCCCGGGACATTGTAAAGCTTGTGCAACATATCACAGACACCCCCGATCTTAGCATTAACAGCCCATCGTTCGGCGGTGTATCTCTCTAGAGAAAGAATATCACCGATATCCATTCCATGGTCGACTGCGTATTCGATCGTCTTGGAGAGGGACGCCACATCGCCCATTCCGAGGTTGAGACCTTGTCCAGCGAGCGGGTGGATCACATGGGCGGCATCGCCGACCAGAGCCACGCGCGGTGAGATGTAAGTTGATGCATGGCGGAAGCGCAGAGGGAAAGAGGCTACACTGCCCTCCTGCACGCCGTTGACCATGGGCGGGACGTGGGAGGCTTGCGGGGTATGTTGCAAACGCCAAGTCAGTTCACTCTCGTGTGAATCCTCGTAGTCCGATGCCGAGGTCGCTGGGCACTCCATGCGCATCATGTACTTGAGGTCGGTCATGGGGAGACGGAATGCAGCGTTCACCATGGCGATGAACGCTTTCAGGGAAAGAGACTTGAGATAGGCGGCGTTTTCAACCGTAGTGGACCACACTAGTGTTGCGTGGTTATTGGGGAGTGGTAGCAAAGCAACCGGGCCTCCGAGGGAGGGCAGGAAGCGCTGGTAGGCGGTTCTCGTGCCGATAGGGAATGCGACCTGATCCGGATCGGCAAGAGAAAGAGTCGCGACGACGCCGTGGCGGTTGTAGTCCCAGCCCTCGGTTGCGATGTCAGCGAACCGGCGGACAGGGCTGTTGATACCGTCCGCACCGACTAGTAGTCTTGCGGCGATCCGAGTCGGGGGTTGTGATTGTGCTGCGCCGGTTGGAGCGAGGGAGAGAACCGGCCAGGCTGATAGGTCCGGTCCGTCCGGGTGGTCCGTACCGTTTTCGATAGATGAGACGGTTGTGTTCGAGAAGATTGAGACATTCTCGTCCCCAGATGCCGCGATGCGCGACAAAAGTCCGCGGACGAGATTGGCGTTTTCCGTCATTGTCGCGACTGTGGGGAGATTTTCGAACGGGGAGGTATCCGCGGACCAGTCGAAAGTTATGCGCGAATCTGTTTCGCCGTCCCATACTTGCATCTCCTGGTATTCTTGGGCTCGGTCGGTGTCAAGGTGTTCCCAGGCACCGATTTTCTGCAGGAACGACACGGACGAGGGCGTTAGGCTGCTGACTCTGTTTGAGAATTGCTGTGAATCGAGGTTCCAGGCGCGAGCTTTTTGGAGGTCCTGGGTCTCGACGAGGGCTACCCTGAGCTTTGACGTTAAGGGAGAGGCACCTATAGATATGCATTAGTCTTCCACTCGCGGATCTGAGTGAATCGGAAAGAGTTCGTAAAGAATGCCTTACGCAAAGCTGCTAGTAACCCTAGGCCTGCTGGACCACCTCCGACACACACCACATCGTAGACATCGGGGGCTTGGTCCGGCTTGGACCCAAATCTTCTACGGCCCACAAAGCGGCCAGACCGACAGGAGGGGCAAACATAAGGTCGGAGTGCCGACCGAGTAATTGGCCGCATGATGGGCATGCGTCTGGGTTCAGGGAAACAACTAAGATGGATCTTCGGAGAAGGCAGTCGGCGATATGGGGTGATGAATCGATGATATGCAAACCACGCAAACAGAAATCGTTCTACAGATGGCACATCTCTACGGAGTAATGCGCAGGGCTAACCCTCTACTGCGTTAAAGATTAGTATCCATACCCAATTAGGGTATACAGCATCCTAAGACCCTATAAGGCATAAATCTACAACTAATAGCACATACGAGCTCATCTACGGGGGTGGGCTCGTAACATAGTGGGATGATCTAGGGTTCAGCGGCTTTTCGGTGTTACCGCCTGCCTGAAGCAAACATTCTGTCTGCCCTGACTAGGCGGTATATGGACGAATCTTATGGCATATCAAATCAGCTCTCGGGTTCAAATTCTATGAAGAGAGCATATGGAGACGTTTATGTTGGCTTAGCAGCCAGTATGGGAAGTCACAATATCCGGTGTGGACATAGCTGGACAATTGATCGTACCTCTCATCTCCTGAATCCAGATAGATGGAACCGAGTGATGATACGTCTGCCAAGTCAAACAAGTGCAACTATTGCAATTTCAGACACAATGCGTACATAGGCTTTAGTGTCGCTTTATAGATCCGTTAGTGTCGGGACTGAGTTTTGGTTCCGATCACACCACAGATGTCAGCTACCCAACAATGAGCATGCATGCCCACGGCCGCTTTATGCTTTGTAGAATGAGCTCATTGCTGTGAACCGGTCCTATTCAAGCTTTTGACAACTTCTTAGTTTTATCGGTGTTGGTCGCCTTTCTCTAGGGTGATTTTGTAAAAATCCCAGGGCCATGGTTGGTGGATATTGCTGGCATATAAGTCTGCTGCAGTTCATCAATGAAGATGGGTATCTAGCGGCGTCCTACGCTTCAGAGCCTTCTTAAGATTCGGTTGTATTTTGATCGACAAATTGGCTTGACAATTCAGTGTTATCTATCAATCATGTCACAGAGTCAGCTGTGATAGAATTGGGCCATGACATTCATGTGGGTAGCCCTATGGAGTACAACGTAAATCTAAGGCGTGATTGGAGGTAACTTTCGCTCAACCCTAAACAACTACATCCACTAAGATTTCCATGGGTGACATTGACTCTCATGGGAATTCATTGTCCCATGGTGACTGGAAGACGGAGCCGGCATGATTGGCCCCTAGGAGGATCAAATCTATATACTCTACAGTATCCTCGCTTTTCAGCTCAATCTCCATTGTCGATCATACCCACCAACGGCACTCAATTAGGATCGACTTCCATTCCTCCAGGAGCAGAGCCGATCGTTTGCGTTGTGTTGGAGCTAAATTGTATGGATGCACTGTACCTTTCTGGGCCGAGTTATCTCAAGATGCACCACTACTGCACATCACCATATCGAAGTGGGCTTACGTTGGATAGCTGCCACGGGCTATCAATTGGGTTGGGCTGACTGCGTATCGCCCGAAACCTAGAGGATATTGAGGTAGAAGGAGGTGGCCCGAGACTGGTGGAGTCTGTGATAGGAGCTGTCATTCACTGAAGAAGAGCATTGTGCATCTTACTGGCCTGTCAAAGGGGTCTTGAGTTGGGGGATGCGGATGGAAAGCTGAAACACCCTCAAGTGGAAGAATGTGCTACCGGGTTATAAATTATAAATAGCACCCATGTTCCACCGCAGCAGCGGGATGATAGTACTTTCTGAGTAAGATCGTATGTCAGATACTAGTAAGTTAACTATCGCTTTGAAAACCAGGGTGAGAGACAAATAGGTCTAGTGGGTGCTATATATAGATCGAATCCACCACCCCAAACCCCCCTCCCCGCGAGGGATTCTTCAGGGTCGAATCCCAAAGTGCCCCTCGGATTACATGACAGTCAGAAGTAGGATCAAAAAGCATAGACTAGTCCAGTATTAATTTAAAACCATGGCGGATGTTCTGCAAACACCCTGTCAATCTTCCGCTGCACATGTCAAATAAAAAGAATTCGATAGAATCAAATAAAAAGACTCCCATTCTTCAAGTTCATTCCCTTTGCCACGTAATCGCCATTCTGCTCAGGTGATGGATGCCTATTTCCATCTATACATACACAGCCTCAATACTCCTTGACTCCTCCCCAAACATGCATGACCCTCACTGATTGAACTGCCCTTCCACCACCAATTCGATTCATCAACCAACCAACCAACCAACCTCGCCTTCACAAATCTCAATAAACTTCAAGAAAAAGAAGCAAGAAAGAAGGGAAAAGAAAAAAAAGAAAAAAGACACAGAGCAGGGTAGAAAGCCAAAAAAAAAAAAATGACATCCACGACATCCATAACGACAACCAAAACGACTACAACAACCCCACCAGCCAAAAAGAACAAAAATACTCCAGCAGAAACAACGCTGGACCTCAGCGCCAACTTCGCCAACAACCGCAAAGGAGCCGTGGGCTATGACCACGAGGTCTACCTCCAATTAACGGCGGGGAGGAACGCTGAGAAGACGCCGAATCAGATGTATCGGGAGGTAGGTCGATTGCTTTTTTTCTTTTCTTTTCTTTTCTTTCCGTTCTTTTTTTTTTTTTTTTTTTTTTTTTTTTTTTTTACCTTGCTATTCTTCTCCTAAGGACGGGATTCTATCCTCTACGATATGACGTGTCCCCTCATGGATTGAAATTGTGTTTTCTTGAATAGGAACGTGTTCGGCAGAGGACTACGAGGGCTTTGGATCCGGCGATTTTGGATCCGCAGGGGGAGCCTGGGCCAGTGGACTTTGAGTGTGCGGAGCACGAGGGGGTCAAGGAGCGGTTGAGGTAATTGGATTCGGGCTGCTGCATTGCATTACTGTTGCTTCTGCTTCTAAAGGTGTTGCTGCGATTGGGCTATGGTATTTGCAAGGAAGATAAAGCTATAATGCCGCGGGTTGTAAGCTACGACAACGTAAACTGTCATGGAATAGTGGCAGAATGGCCGTGAAAAGGAGTACCGGGTAGAGGGAATAGATAGAAGCTGACAAGAGGGGGCGCAAATAGGAAGACAACAGAAATCACTCGTTCATGTCACATCAAGTATATCATCCACGCACTTATCGTGTTGCAATACTCTCCTGTGGGGCGGGTTCTTCGTGATTTTCATCTAAATCACCTTCCATCTCCGCGACAAACCTCTCCCATGTATTCAACACTCCCTGGTAGAAGTCAATATGCTTCTCGGCCAACGCGCCGAGAGTGTCCCGGAATTCAACCGCCTTGATCCGTTCGAAATCCGCAACTTCACGGACAACCTCTTCATCGAACATCTCTGACGTGGTCTTAGCAGATTCTACTTCGCGAGTCAGTTCGTCGATGCGCAACTCTAATTTTCGGACCCGCTCCCGGCGTGACTGCTCATGGTCGACACCACGCATGTCTTCCATCTTGGAGCGGATGAAGGACGCAGGCGATGAGGTAAGAGGATTAGAGGCATAGTAGGATGATGGGTTGGTGGCGAGCGAGTCTCGCTCGCTCACAGCTTTGTTGCGGTAGTCCACTAAGGCCTCAAAGTCGAGTTGCTTCTGCTCACGCGTTTTCAGAAGCGCCTTAACGGACACGATGTAGGCCTCCATATCCCGGAGCGAGCCAAGGTAGTTCTGATCCGTGTGGTCTTTGAGACCTTTCAGCCCGCGTCCCGTCTCTTCCACCGACGCCGCGAATACCTGTAAGGGAACTTCAACGTTTGGCTCCAGAGACACCAGTTTGCGGAATTGCGTCGCCAGGTCATTGTAGTCGGTCTCCAAATCGGACTCGCGCCGAGCAACCCTGGCGACGATCTTCTCTACGTGATTGAGATCTTCATCCAACTTATCTGCCTTCTCCCGAACCTCAATGAACCGGCGATCGGGTTTGTGGACTTTCGTAAACGCATTCACGAAAGTATCGGTAAAGTTGTCAAAAATTCCTGGGGTACCGCTGTTGTCTGTCGGATTGGTGGATGTGCGAGAGGTGTGAAGCCGCATATGCGCATTCCAGTCGGGGGATTCTAAGAAGATAGCAAGCAAAGGAGCCCGGCGAAGCACCGGATGTAATGCCAGGCGCTTTAGGAATCGATGTAGTGACCAGGCACGTCGTGTAGTAAATTCGGGCCCGAACCGATCCCCCCGCACGTATTCCATTTTATGCTTGTCTGGTAGAGGTGGGACGGCGCAGGCAGGATACTCACGATAGAGCGTCTTGTATAGGAAGAAAAAATCCGTAAATCGTCTGCGCACTGCAAACTCTGACCTCTGGAAGGACTTGAAATCGGTCTGCGATGCCCCTCCGGTCAGTACAGTGAATTGTTTGCTGGGCAACCAGGGAGTCTGGGGTCTGCCATGAAAGGCCGGAGGCAACTCCCGGGGAAACGGGACAACTCACTTGCGTTGTAACCAAGTAAGAGATATATGCGTCTTTGGTACCGTCATTCTCTTTCAGTGGTGAATCCACCCGACATTCCAACACCCCATCCCCGATACCTGCTAGATCGACCGCATCTGCCAGTGGCCCGGCTTGTGGGGTTTCGTGAGCTGAGCTCATTCTCCGTTTGCCATTGGCATCATGACTTGCTGCAGGCGACTCTTCGACATCAGTGCCCGAAGTGGTTGGACGAGAGATATCGCTCTCTGGTTCGTGTCTCCAAGAGACATTGTCAAAGTCATCGTGCTGATCCATCGAGGGGTTGCCGGTTGGGAAAGCGGCAACTTAGCACAGGTAATTGTACAAGTCAAAAGAAGCTTGTAAACAATTTATATCACCGGAGAGACTCGATGTAGAGAAACTCGGGATATGAGGAGCTATGGTTGATGGTGGTACGTAGATCGATAAATGGGAGGGTGAGAAGTTGCGGAGGCAGCAGTGGAGCAGTCAATTGGAGAAGCGGCCGCACAGCGTCATCGGCCCAAGCGCCAAGACCCCATCCACTTTTTAGCGCGCTTTGCAACAGCTACGATGACCGGATGTATGTCCTGTATGGGTCTATTTTGTCAAGTAAGTCGAAGTTATATACAGCAGCCTTCGTTCAACATCAATAATTCACAAGATCCATGTAACACATCCCATCTGATATAACCGAAACGCGCCGCACGAGGACCACTATAGGATAGAAGCAAATGCAAGTCTAGTCCAAACTATACTATGACCGAGCATGGTCGCCACTTGTGCTACCTCGCCGTTCGCGATCCCCACTAAGGGCATGATCCCTATAAGGCGCATCATCATCATCGCTAAACAAAGGCTCTTCGTCGCTTTCCCCAGCGAAAGCGTTGTAAAGCTCACCTCCCCGGCGTTGTGTACGACCTGAACGCCCGTTCATAGCCTGCGTTTCGTCCTCATCTTCTATCATTTCGAAATCGTAATCATCACGAGGATCATTACGCTGGCGCTTTCGTCGCTGTACGTGGAAGTAGACCCCAAGTCCAATACAGAACACAATGATCGAACTGATCGCAGCGTAAATCCAAGCCTGAGTCCGTTTAGACGCACCGAACGTAGGGAAGAAGGACGGCAAAAAGCTATCCGTAGAGGAGATAGTAGAGGGCGATTCAGTAGAACCGGGTTTCGTCGGGGTGGGAAGTTCAGATGTCTCTTGAGCAGGAGCCTCTGAAGGCGTCGTTGGTTGCGCAGATGGCTTTGCGTTCACCGGACGATCGACGGGATCAGTTGGGACAGCTGGGTCTTCAGTCTTGGTTGGGACAGAACCAACGCTAGTGGTAGCAACAATGGCATCTTCAATCGAATGGTCATCGTCGTGCTCATCGGGCATAGGGTGAAGGGGCTGGCTGGAGCCGTCGATGGAAATTCCCCAGAGGTTGAGCCGCCAATCAATGAATTCTCCAACATGATCGTTGACATTGGTATCCTTAACAATGACCGTCCACTTTCCAACACCGGACTCGCCCCTAAAGGGAAATGTCAGACTGAGTACGATAACTAAAGTACGGGGGTAATACATACCAATGAGCCACAGTCATAAATGTCCAATCGTCATAGCCAGCCTTTGCATTATCTGATCGTCGCGCTGTACTCAGATGGCTGACGATACCTTCGGGGCTGCGCAACTCAACGCTGATATCGCCTCGGCGAGTGTGATTTACATTCATGGTCACAGTGACATGTTCCAACTTCTCGACATTGGCCTGGTACATCATATCCTTGGTAATTTCGTATGAGCTGGCAAGTCCCTGGTCACCTTGTGGGATTTCATGCTTCACCCGCAGCCACGGTGAGTGGAACCACGCCTGTGGTTTCACCAGCTCCCACGTCTTGGCCAGCTGGACCAGTGAATATGCATCTACTTTCCCAAAACCCCAGTCATGGCTAAACTTCTTCCCCATCTTGGTAGTTTGCCAGCTCCCATCGTCTTCGTGGACGGGAACTGCGGTCTCTATCATCAGGTACTGGGCATCTCGCCAAGTAAGTTCCGGTCTGGCACTAAGAGCAAGGGCTATGGTACCCGCAGCTAGCGGACCTGCGGCAGAAGTTCCGCCATGAAGTGAATAGCATTTATCAGTTCCAACGTCGGTGGTATGAATCGCGTCACTCGAGCCACTGCTATAAGCGACGACCAGCTGGGCAGAGCATGATTCCGAGTAGCTGGGATGTTTGCCCTCTCGATCAATAGCACCGACGGTGATGCTGTAAATACTGTTCGTGTAACCATCGAAATTGCAGTTGTCATCGTACCCGGCACCATTTCCAGCTGCAAAAACGAAGATAGAGCCTTTGCCTCCTCGGCCATTTTGGATACCGTTAACCATAGCTCGTTTGATAAGAATCCCCGGCGCCTCCATCGTGGCGCCGTCATCTGGAGGGCCCCAAGAGCATGAATAAATATCATTGCGCTGAAAGCCAAAGTTGATGGCAGCAGCCTCATCTGCATCGTCAATGGGCGCGGACAAGATCCGAATTCCCGCAACTTGGCTGTCGTACGCAACACCTACTCCACAGACATCGTTCCTAGCTGCTCCGATTTCACCAGCGCATCTTGTGCCATGCCTATCATCACCAAGTCGCGGTCTAGGTTCCGGTACATGGTCGTTAAAGTCGTAGGAGCCCTCAGCAAAGTAGTTAGGTTTGAGGTCATTGCTGTACATGTCTAACCCGTCATCGACCACAGCCGTGATGACACCTTTTCCCGTGATACCGTCTAGCCAGACGTCCGAAACATTGAGGTCATGGCCAACTTGGACAGTATTGTAAAGATGCCACTGTCCACCGAAGATGGGATCTGTAATCCCAAGTGAAGAGGCAATCCGTTTCTGAGCTTGGGCAGCTACGGGGTCCTCTTCTTTCACAGACGCCCTCGGCGCCACGTCTGCTGGAGGGGCCCTTTTTACTAGTCGCTGCTTTGGGGCTAACTTTTGAGACCAGAGTATACCACTCAAATCTCTTTCCCTCGTATCCAATGTCTTGCCACGACCTTCTCCGGCACGAGTTGACCTTTTTCTGATACGTGCATGTTCGAGTAGCGCATCGAGGTTTGCACCGTTCTCCTTGGGTATAGAGAAGGTATGGTGTTGTGTGAGTTCCCCTACTTGACCCTCGTGGCGTGCTCCGAGGCGCTGGGCGATCTCATCTGGAGAGGTGGAGTCGTCAAGATGAAGAGCAAAGAAATCGCGCGTCTCGTAGGACCGTCGAGGATGGACTGATGCCGTCGCAGCGCAAAAGAGGCCGAACGCCACCGTTGCACTTTCGGAAAGCCGCATTGTGGGAGTAGCGTGAATCGAGATGGGCCCCTATCAGTACTGGTAGTAGGGCGAGATGAGGACAAATAAGATAGTTGCCATCAATAGAACAGTACCAGACTCTTCAGTAGATGGCTCGCAATTCAGTAAGCAACTTCAAGGAAAAGAATGCTATAAAGACAAGGAATCAGGAATATAAACAGTAAGGGGGGTATGAAATGGTTATGTACTCATGAGCACTGCTCGGTGAAGTTGTCGCGGAGGCGGAGTTCGAGAATGGTGTTCACTTCGGGGAAACAGCGGAGCCTTTTGCCTTAGGCGACGAATCCATTGTTTAACTTTACATGATCTCCACTGTCTTAATTTTTAGTGCTCAGGTAGCATTCATTCAATACTAAACATTGATTACACTACATGATCGAGAACATCATGGCCCCATGTTTCAGCTTTTCGGTTAGATGAACATTCTTGCCATATTTTAATACAGACTGTATCTTTCTTATCGGCAGCTGGATTTCCACTCCCTTACAGTGAAACCCCCTCAGACTTCCAGTGAAGGGATGACATGAAAAGTACTCCGTATACGAGGTAACCGTAGTCAACATGGGCGGGAGCCAGTTACTAAGAACCGAGAGAAAGAGTTCAAAGGACTATTCAGCCCTGTTTTAGTGACTTCTATTCTTATTGTGAGTTTTTTTTCCCCCTTCTTTTCCTTCTGTACTACATGTACAATAAAATGAGATGACGAATACAATAGACTAATCAACATTGTGTGAAAATTGAAGTATGCTGCTCTAGAGAGCCTAGGTAATGTCCATACCGATACCCCCCTTCGATGTATGTACTCTGTAATTTTCAAAATACCCCGACAGTCCCTCGGGATTCCTTTTTATATCAACCGCTCGGCCCATTCACAACCATAAGCCAGTATTTGCTCTATGAGGTACCGAGTCGTAATGAATCTACGGTCGATGTTGAAATAAGATTAATGATCACACCGCCAATTGGAGGATTTATATGAAACATCCCATGATTGATCACGGGGAGGAAACATGTCTCACTCAACCACAAGAATGCCATTCTCTTCTTTTACAATGTTACTAAAAAACCGACTATGTTCATACTCACCCGGTGCGGTGAGCTGTTGCAACATGACTACAGCACTGCCACTATTAATTACTTGTGAGGTTGTGATACACGGTTTACTTGACACAGCACGATGGAGTCTTTTCGTCATCTTTTCTATCCAGGCACCCTTCCACGCTCTTAGTCCGATTTTTCCTTCCGATTACAAGCTAATTTCTTTTCTTAGAAAGGAAGGGGGGGGGGAAGGTGAGCCAGTCGTGGTGCCTGGCGGGAACATGTTTAATGCAGGATGACTGACGAGTCAGCCCCGCATGGAAGATGCTGTGCTGGTTCGCCGTTGCCAGCCACCGACTTAATTCTCATTAGCCAGCACAATGGGATTAATTCGTCACTCCAATATAATCCTGTTAGCCTGTTGATTTTTCTGTCATCTCATGGATTTTTTTTTTTCATTCTTTCTGCCCCCTGGTCGAAATCGCGGTATTCGATCTTCTTACTTTCCTCTCATACGGTACAAATCCATCATTGTTACAATCCATATACATCGCTTGTATACTACTCCGCAACTTCCAGCTCTGCGAATTAAGCGATGATCCATTCTTTCAGTGCCATCACCATGTACTAACACGACCTGGTTTGGCCGAATCATCTGCTACTGTCACAAATTTGGATACGAATTGATTCTTTTTACGATCTTTATTGGTGTCTCTCATCTTTCTATTCCCCGCGCATTCATTTTTTACCAGTGATAAAGTACAGAAGCTTTCCGGGCAGTGTCGTAAAGGATCCGAAAGCCTTGAAGAATGGCTACAGCTAGTTCCCAGAGGCCGACTAATGGAGGCTCATTACCTCCTCAATCTGTCCCTCTGAATGGTGTACCACACGCACCATCGCACCGACGGC